AAACTCGAGTAGCAGCTTCTGATCCTACACAAAACACTCGGTCACTGACAATTCGGTTCTGCGAGGAATGCGTGGTACATTCTTCAGCTTCGGCTTCCCAAAATGCCAATCAAATCAGATTTGCCTACAACTGCACGTGTTTTTGGCTTGAAAGCAAGGAGCGAATCTATTCACGATGGTTGCCATCAGGTTGACATGTCGGAGCGCAAAGGTGCCATACATGCGATTCCAACAAGTGCCCGTTTTGCCCTCGAAATCTGTAAAAAAAACATCAAAAAGGGCACTTGTTGCAAGACCTCCAACCGGCAGGATTGAGTATATGTAGCTTTTGGAAAAGTTGCCCACTGGCACCTTTGTATCGATTGCAAAGCTGTCCGAAACTTGCCAAACGGCGGTCGCATAATCTATAATGAAGACGCCACGCGATTGTTTGGTCTCATGTTGTTGCCTCGACCGGAGTTTGCCGTTTTACACACACACACACACTCGCCGCCCGACATGCGCAAGCCAAGCGTCGGTGAACAAGAGGCAATTTGCCTCCATAATGAGATCTCCCTCAGGAATGCCCTGCGTAGCAAAAACGCCACGACCACCTATCTCTGGCGAAGGCTGCGCTGTCACTGGAAATTTGGCCAACTCTGAATCGATCAAAGCAGGCATCTTCGTCTCCAACGCTGTTGGCACACAATCCACCTCATCTCGATGCCACAGTTCGATGCAACGCAACGATGCAACACGAATTTGACTTGGTGTGTGTGGAGTGGCAGCATAAGGACAAGGAACGCAAGCCCAAGAGTGCTTCTCATCTATGCAGCCTTCAAGCCATTCAACCATCTGCTGCTCCTGAATCGTCGTGGCTTGCCAGCTGAAAAAACATGTCATGTTTCTAGCTGCCCTCCTTCTAAAACAAAGCACCATCAAACCCGAGGAAGTCGCCTCAGCACTGCAATGGATGTGGATCAGCTGCAAGTCCTCCTCGGTCAGAGGCCGCTTTCGCCCTTGAGGATTGGATTTTTTGAGCAGAGCGAGCTTCTGCTGGTAGAAGTAGTTTGTGGCAACTTCCCATCCATGGCTCTTGGAATGCTCCCTCACCCGGCCCTCCTCCAAAAATACATGCACATCCTTAATTGCAATTCAGGCAGCTGCAAAACTTTCAAGCATCATTATTCGGAAAGGCACGGCCTTGCCATTAGCCGGAAATAACGAGAACTCACAGTCAGCTATTTGTTCTTGTATTGAGCCGTGGATCTGCTTGCAAGTTCCTACCAGCCAAGATTGGGGCTGGATGCGCGGAAGATGTCAAAACAACCAGGTGCATCAAGCCAGGGAGGTGCAAAACATCGCGAGCCAGCTTTTCGTAGAAGCCTGACAACAACACTGCTCAGGCTTGCGGAACGAAACCCACCTCTGGCTCGAAAAAATAGATGCTGCTTAAGCGCAAGACAGTATGAAAAAATTGGAGCGCAAACTATTCTATAGGTAAAGGCTTCGAAACGCACAGGTCTGCTGAAGGGCCAAAGATCAATCAAATAATCTCGCGCAACCGAATCAGATGTGTCCTCTTCTTCGGCGCTGTCACAGCCTTCGTTGAAGATGTCCCATTGACTGTGATCGCCTTCATTGTCTGACGCATTGAGCTCTCTGGCTGTGTCATGAGCTGCCGGATCCTCACCTGATATGCAAAGTTGCACGCCCGACGTCGCAAGCATTTGGCAAAGCTTACTGTCTATACGGGACGGGCCATTGGAAATATTTCGGAAAATATTGGGGCAGCTAGATTACATCGGCACTTTCAAGGCTAATCTCCATTGAGCCAAAGCACAAACCAACAGAGCACGTTCGGCTTCGCTCCGCAAAGGGCAACTTCTTGTCATACAGCGAAGCCGGGCTTGCTCCAATTTTCGGCCCTGTTTCCGCGGCATGTCCACTGCAAAGGGCAGCGTCTGTTTGCAATCGTGGTGGATGAGAAGAACAAAAAACGGGAGCGCTTTTGCTCCTTGATTTGTCCCGCTGGTGATCTGCAACCTGGGCTTGGCCACTGCTGTGGTTCATGCTGAGCATTACTTCAATATCGAAAAACAACGTCACGAATGGGTTTCGAAAAAATCATGGCATAAAAGTCCACCGCAGCTGAGAGTCACTGCAACCCTTGCTCCACCGCCTTTGCTGAACAAGGCTTGGCTGCGCTTGTACAAGGCATCCAAGAGGTCAAAACGGCTAGCCAACACGATTGCACATGCATATTTGGTGGCACCACTATCCGAGATAACCTGCTTGGCAATGTCCAAGTATTTGGCATTGACCTTGAGGCGGCTAGAAGCGGCATCAATGATGATGCCGAGACGGGTGTTCGTGGCAGCCTGAGTTACGTGCTTCACCAAATCTCGCGAGTCGCCGAAAATATGCACGTGCCCCTCCAACTGGGCCAAAGCCTTGGGAAAAGACAAGCCGAATCATACAAGATGCAGGCAGGCACAATAGTAACTGCATAATAAGCAAAAGAAACATTAACATTGGCGAGAAACATGTTTCATGGCCTCACTTTCAAGCGGGTCCTCTTCCATGATGACCTCCTCGCTGGCTTGCACCATCGATACATCCCCATCTGCTTCTGCTTCCACGTCTGCACTTGGTTCTGCGACTGCCGGCTTAGTCTCACTGGAACCAGCTGATGACTGGGGTTTGCCAGCTTTCTGAAGGCCGAACTGCTTCACGAGCTCATGTGCTTCCTATCGGTGCTTGTGGCTTTGGATCGCTTGGCAGGTCTACAAAGTCAACAAAACGTAAGAATAAAAACAAAACCATCTAATTTTTCAAGGAACCAATATTCCGACATCGGTTGCTGAAGTCCCATGAATGCGAGAGCCACTGGCGAGAATCGCCTTCACCTTGTTCAAACCTTGCCTTGTTTTAAGCTGCTCGCAAAGTCCTGAGATGATTGCATTGCCGGGCCCAAGCGACACCAAAAAACACTGTCCCCAAACCACCGTGCTCAAAAGCAGCAAATCGACTCTAGCAAAGAGGCGGTGAAAACCTTGAGATGCACTGGCAATAGCCCCGTGCTGCTTGATGATGCTAGTTGCCCACAAATGGACTTGCAGCAAAGGCTGGCATATGTCCCGCTCGAAGACCGATTTAAACCTTATTTTGTGAATCTCATGCATGGCCACAGCCTGACATTCCTCAAACTGCAGGTCAATACTGCCCTAAATCCTTATGCCAAAAACCGATGAAGCGGTGAGATTTTGAATCTTTGATTGTTCTCAAACCCGGCCCAATCAAAGTTCCCGTGCAATGGCTCACACAAAGTGCTGGTAAGGCGCATTGCTACCCCATCCTGGATATCCTTAAATTAAAGAGGAAACTGTTCAAGCAAATCCAGAATGGCCACAAGGGCTTGAACGAGGCAAGCTAATGCCAAATTCCTTTTCACGCTGCTCCGAACTCACTCTGGCCTCAACTAAAACTTCCCAGCAAATGAACCGCAAGGCGGGCAAACCCGACAGGGTACTGCTCAGCCAGCTTTGTTTTGAAGGTGCCTTCACCAGCGCCGCTCAACTGGACATGCGGCTTGTTCTGATATTTGCGCACGAAAGAGCCTAGACTGTGCGTATATATTTTTTTGCACTTGAAAGATTTGCAAGGGACAACGCCTGCATTCCATAGCCAACACCGAGTTGGCTTTTGGTAAGCTGTACCGAAAGAACAAAAGTCACAATCTAGTTGCTGCCAAAGCCCTTCTGTACACAATTGCAACAACTCTGGAACATTCCACATCATGGAGCGACGTGGGTTTTCGAGCCCAGCCGGGATGCTGTGCTGAATGCATGCTCTGATGATTCGCAAAGTCGTTCTCAAAGTCAAACTCCCATTATGCAATGTGCGGCGGTCGCCGTCCTAATGGCTCGGAGTAGGCAAGAAACGGCAAAGGAGGATGTGAAATGCCACCGCCAATAGCAGGATACCGGGCTTGGATTTATCGAACCGATGTTGAAGGCTGCCTACTTTGAATGCCGCATTTATTACAAAGGTTCTGTTGCTGCACGAAATGATTTTTCACAAGCAATTAAAAGGGCACCTAGCAAAATGCGTAGCACACCCGTGCAAAACCAGAAGGTCGCCTCTCTTGACCCTGAGTTCTTTTTGGAACAAATATACTTCAGCAAGCTTTCGCGTGTGTGGTGGAGATGGCAGAAAATCGAGAAGGCGAATGTGAAAAGAATCTGCTGCTACGAGCCTGCTTTTATATTTGCAAAAACAGCGGTGAATATCACCGCAAAGCACAAAACACTGCGAAAACAAAGGCCTAAGGTCCGTCATGTTGTCTGTTGGAAGGCCCCAAATTGCATCCGGCAGAGATCGAAGTCGGGCAGGCCATCCTTTTCTATTCAATCTATTCCTTTTCCCTCTCCTCGCCCGAGACCAGGAATCGCACGGCGTTCCTAGCCACACCTAGCCGTTTTGTGGGGCATCGAAAAAATGCAAATGTTAGGCTTGACTTTGCGCAATCACAAGCTCGACAACACAAAATTACACGATAGGTCTAATATCAAGCAAGAGGCAAAAGCGACAAGCCCTGCTTGAATCCACCCCAAGATGTGCTCGATCATGTCTTCGCAGGTCAAATCCACGCCGGTCAAAACGTCCAGCCCCAGCGATGGCAATCCTTGTGCAACAGCTGAACGAAATACCAACGCAGCTATATTAAACCGCTACTTAGCTCCTATGCGAATCTGCTGCAAGCATTGTGCCAAATCACGCTTGTGCAGATGAGGTTCCCATTGCAACCGCTGCGGCAACCACCGTGGCAGATCCACAAAACAGCTCCAAGCAAAACCTACCTGGAATCTTTAGCTGCAGGCAATGTGAAGATTACCCCTGATGGAGAGAAAATGTTCAAAAGCTAACCTCTGATGGCAATGATTCATTTTAAATTCTTGAAGGGAGAAAAGAGATCCCAACACTGTCGGCGTTTTTACAATGGAGTTTTCTGCCATCTCCTACTTCTGAAGTGGGGACGAGATACCTCGAGAAGCCAGATTGCGGAACTCTGCGTCGACTTCCTCAGCAGACCTAGTTGGGGGCGGCGAGCGGCCTCTCTTCTTGGTAAGCCGCTGCCTTTGAACCTTTGCTTTCCGAGACAACTTGCTGCTGGCAAGAGAAAAAGGCTCACTAGGCGTTGGGTGCATCTCTATATCAGCAGCGATTGCGGCAGCCTCACCTGCCTCTACCGCCACGTTTTCGTCACAAATGTCAATGAGATTTTCCTCACAAATGCCAATCATGTGGTGTGGTCCATCAGCAGCAGGCTCTTCCACAATTTCGATGCGCCCCATTGCAAACGGCTCGACCGAGTAAGGCTTTGTGTTCGGCTACTTTCATGTAAATGAGAAACAACCATCAGCATCCATCCCTAGCTACCGAGAGGTCTGAAACACATGTTGGATGGTGGTCTTTGGCGCATTGCATCCTGGAAATGCGATCGGTGTATTGCCCCTGCACTGCCGAATGACGCCAAACAACATGAAACAACAGCCAAACAAAAGCACGCATCTTACCGCTGGTGCATGTGTACCGCCACCCATATTTTGCAGACAGGGGTCTTTCTGGACAAGATCCAAGGCCCGAATGGCAAGCTCTGGAGGTAGGCGCTGCTTTGATTTAGCACCATCGCCCATCAAAAACGCACAGTCGAAGATGTACGTTTGAGGGACAACCTCAAACCTGGATTGGTGGTCGGTGGAAAAGGGGCGCGGAAAGGGGAACACCATGAAGCCTTTTTCAACCCCTGCCCTTTGATGAAATGAAAAGGCACTCAAAAAGAAACTGGCACAAACTTGGCCTCGGCAGGGCCACTTTGATTGTATTGTGCAAATTCTTCCATGCGCGGACCCATTTGCCGACTCGTGTTTTGGCAGAAGGGCCAAGAACACTCAAGAGCGACGCCTTTGCTTTCTCAATGTCGCCGCCAGGGGCTCGCTGAACTGCCCTGTCGACCACACCCAGCTTCGAAGACAAGCTCGATGGCCGGAATCGGTTGCTTTCCTCATCATGGGCCTCAAGTCCACCACTGTCACAGCATAGGTACTGCATACCTTTTTCAGAAAAAACAAACCACCATTTAGCTTCACACATCGCACATCACCACTTTGAATTTGGAACCGGAAGGCCATACAACACACACACACAATAAAATTCATCGGCGGCGAGTTGCCGAGGTGTACCAAAGCAGCCTGTGGTCCCTATCATCGGTAGGGAAAGCAACCCAATCCACGACGACACCCAGCTCAAAGCTCTCAACCAATTTGGCATGGAATTGGCTTGAATCCCCCTCTTTCATCCAAATATCTTTCAACGTCCGCATCGCAGACAAATATTGGAAGCCATCTCCAATGAGCACCAAACCCTGCCACACATGCGATATCAAATTTGATCAACCCTCTTGCCTCTGGTCACTAAGAAAGTCTCGGGCCCTCAACCTGCCTTCGTGTCCATGAGCGGTTTGTCCTCTTTGTCTGCGGTTTTGAGGAGCTGGGGGTCACGCAAGATATGATGCCCTGCTACTTTGCCTCAAAGGGCCCACTGGAAGGGCCAAGACATGCCAAGACTTGAAAGTTGCGCAAAAAAATGCAAGTGAGATGAAGCAATCATTGCACACGCGAAGGGCCAAACAAGCCTTGAAATGCACTGCAAGGTTCATTGTCTTGTCGGTGGGGCAAACGATAGCGAAATCAAAACCACACTCCCCACAACCACACAAAGAGAAGCAGCATGACATGGCAATATTTTAGAAGATTTTTCAACGAGGATCTTTGTTGCAAAAACACAAGATTGGCGAGGGAAACGCCACGCGCAGTCTAGCGACCACTCTTCAGATCTGCCAGAATTTCTTCTTGTCGTGCCATGTCGGCGCCTCTCCATCCAGAAACATCCGGGTCAAACGAAATGTCCTCTCAGAGACGATTGCAAAGTCTTGCGAAGGCCAGCAAAAAAAGTGCTCACGGTATCCATTCTTGTTATACACAAAAATGTCTGCGTGTCATTGCAATGGAAAGAGGTCCTCGAGCTTCACCCGGACACCCCGGGATCGAAATTCAGGCCCTTGATCTTGGAGGTTAGAGGCAGCCATGGCAGCTTTTCAGCGAATCGAAAGCGTTCAGCCAAAATCTAATGGAATATAGTGGCATAGAAAATCGGCCGTCACTTCTGGTGCAATTATAGTGAACTTCATTGCCGCTACTAATGACTGGCTGGAATTCGACCAAGCAGTTACGGATGACAATGCAAAAACAGCCTCTGGACAACTGCAAAGCGCAGCCCCGAAAATACCAGGACTCCACACTTTCACAGCTCAAGGTCTCCACCTTGGAGGTTCAAGCTGCAAGGAAGGCTGGATGAAAATCAAACAAATGAAGTTGGATGCCACAATGAAGTAGATCTTAAACGTCAATTTAGTGGCCAATATTTGTGGATTTTCTTGAAACAGGCCGAACTGCGCGCAGCGCAACAAGCAAAAGCCATAAGACATTTTTGCGCTGTAGCCAAAAGTTGAAAGGCCTCTCATTCTCCTACCCCGGGCTCTCTGCCACAGGATATCACAGGCTTCCACAGCTCTTCCTTTTGGGTTGCCCATTCTTGACCTTCTTTAGATTGAAGCCAAGCACTCATCTCTTCTCTGGCTCGCGTGTGAGTTACAGGCCTGGCCCCTGCACCACCAGGCTTGGCGTGCGTTGCCAAAGGAACGATATGACCAGAAGGGCGAACTGCACGTGACAACTCATTGAAAACCTGTTGTCCCAATTGCTCCGCACCTCCAGGCGCGTGGAAATTTTGATGGAGGCCCATCTGAGCTTCAAGCATGTGAGGCTCCAAGACCATGTTTCCTGGGGCAAGGTTGGAAATTCCATACTTGGAGAACTAGAAAGATTACAAAACTACCTTCAAAAGTTTAAAGATAAACGTTGGCAGGCTGATGATGAAGAAACAACTCCAACGAAAAAACCTTGGTCGTTGAAAATCTAAGTGACTTATATAATTGTTCTGAAGTGGACGCAGCAAGCTCATGTGAGAAAGGGGTCTGCTTGCTCAATGAAGCAGTTTGCCTAGCACTGAGCGTGGGGTTCCCAGTCGGCGGTTCCGTTGCTGTCTCTTTTTGACAAATGGATCCTTGCCTGCGTCCATCAAGGCGCTCGCCACTTCCTCGATGATCCAATCATCCCGTGGCCCGATGCCCTCAAATTGAGAGACCTTCAATCTCAGGCGGTTGGCAACCCTAGCTGCATAAATGGCGGAATCTCCAGTTTCAACACAATGTAAAAAGGACCCTACTCTCTCGCAGGCACTGGAGGCTGATGCGCTTGTGCAACAAAGCGCCAAAAGCATGCAAACATGCCAGCAATGAGTGCTCTTGCCTTCCATGGTGAAATGGTGCAAAGCAGGGTCCGTGACTATGGACTGTATCACTGAAGCTGCGCATGCCTCTTGAGCAACAGCCTGAACGCGCACACACTTTCCCTTGAACGGACTCTTGGTGAAAATTGCTATGGCATCTTTGGTGAACTCCGAACTTGCCTGCAAACGGTGGCCGTTGATTTGAAAAATTGCCAGAGAAGAAGGCTTCGTCTCGAACCATCGAGGGTGCCACACATAACTCAATATGTTTTGCTTCAAATGAAAACGAACTTTGGGAGGAAGATGCTGAAGAGCCCGTCCAAGACAAAGAGACAAAACAAGGTCAGGCCTTGGCAGCAAGGAAACCATGTAGCCTACGGTCTTATACCATCTCTGCTTATTCGGATTGTCTCGCAAAATACGAGCAAAAACCAAAAACTGCCGCCAGGCCTCCTTGTCTGCTGGCCATACATGACTAAAATAGCCAAAATCGGGCCACTTGAAAAAAGACATCTTTGGTCTGTATAGATTCATGAGCCGGAGGAGGGCCTCCTTCTGGTCGGCCCTTGGCCTATTTTGCAGAAGGAAAGGAAAATCCCAAACACGAACAACGTCATCATAGAATTGCCGTACAGGCTTGCAAAGGCCGATCTCACCCCAATAACCTGCATAATTGCTCTGCAGCTGCTTCAAGAAGTGAGCTGCCGCAGCCAAGCCCATTTGCGCCTGGTGGTGTATATGAGGCACAAGGCGAGAAGTTTGGCATTGGATGAGATGTGTGCCGAACAAAGAGCGTCCCCGCAAATGCGAGGGAGTAGTAAACTTCTCGAAAGTCTCATAGCGAAGAGGGGTGTCAATGAGCCAAAGGTGCGATTCTTCCAGTAGCTGCTGCTTGGTAGTAGCAGAATGAGCAACCCAAGCTGGAACCAAGACTCTCCTCTTCTTGCTACGCTTGCCCCTTGTCAACTGAATTTCCACAAGCATAGGTTCATCTCTCTTTTGCGGCAGGTCTCGTGGGGCCGTCTTGCACAGGGCCCGGCACATGCAGCGAGGAGTTACACACATGGTGTTTGGATGCAAATCAGCGAAAGTTTGGAGAGGAACTTTGTGGAATTGGCGCTCAACTAAAACTTCATAAAGACAGCCACAAGTGCTAGGAAATCGCCGCCCAAATTGGGTGTAGAGATGCGCAAACAAAAAATCTCTGATGGATGCTTTGTCGCAATAGTGCTGTAGCAAGGTAACCACCGAAACCAAGCGTCTAAGCTGGTACAGGAGCTGCAGATCATTTGAGCAGTCTTCTTGCTTCTTGAGAAAAAAAGCATGGTTCTCCCACGGCAATTTTCCCTCACCTTGGACATACAATGTGAAGACACGTTGCCGCTCCATCAAATCTTTGAATGCAGCTGTATACATCAAAAAATCAATAGAAAGCAAACGACGGCCCAAACCCAATAATGATGATATGCTCGAAGCACCATGCCCTTGTCGTTTCCGAGACACTTTGGCGTGCAGCCCCACAGCGTACTTGCGATAGTTGACCAGAATATTTTGAGCGATCCGCGTCATGGACTCGCCTTTGCGTGTGCCACCCACGTCGGCCGCTGGCGTATGGTTGTTTTCATCAACCAAAGAGCTGACACTTCTCAAAACAACTCTCCCATACCGAACCCAAACTGTTGCGCCACGCCGCGGGCGACTGCGAACAATTCTTGTGACATTGGTGAATCCTGCAAAGTCCTCGATCTGTGGAACATCTCCCACTCACAAAGGGTCTCCACACCAGTTGGATAGACAAGGTTGGAGAATTTATTGCAAGCGCCTGTGCTAACGTGTTTCATCTCAGGGCCTCCCCGCGCCACGGCGCCGTCACCCCCCACCATTGTGAGGACCCTTTGGCGCAAGGATTGGCCTGTCAATTTGGCTGGATGGTGTTCCAATGCGCTCAAAACAACCTGAGCTTGGGCATCTCCATCGTGACTGCTGCCCATGCTTGGACAATTTAAGAAGTGAGTGTTCAATGCGCCTAGCCACCGACAAGACATAGTGATCATCTGGGCGGGCATGGGCTGCATTGACCAATGCCTCGCCCACCAAAAGGCGCATAGTTTTAGGCCCATCGCGCACCTTACTCATGTCCGGTGCACGTGGGTCTTTTCGGCCGCAGGCTCGCGCGGCACAGGCTTCCAATTGTTTTCTCGAACTTTGCGGTAAGTGTTTCCTTAGCAAGCACAAAGTTCAACTCGCCTTGCTTTACTTTCGCTCGATACAGCATATATTACTGGCAAAAAGGATAGCTATGATAAGGGCAATTGTATACAAGAGCAAGGGTCGAATAGTGTTGCCCTTCACACAAAGTAGGACTGCAGCCGCTTGTGCGGCCACCGGCCTAACTTCTTCCGTTTCGGTGGGAAAATGCGAAATGATCTGCCGGAGAAGCTCCTTGGGAAGCTTGGACAGGTTTGTGTACACATTCGTCAGGAGAATCTGCCCTTGCTCATCAAGACCTTCAATGAAAAGGCCGGCTTTTGACACAAGTGAAAGAGGAGAAGCCTTGCCAGATTATATTCACAGACTTACAATTTTAAAAATTCACACCTACTCACCTAGTACAAACTAAACTAAAGCCTACCTTGTGTCAAAAGCAAGCTTACACCGGTTCCACTTTCCCACACACAGCAAGTTCTGCTTCAGACCATCTCTGGCATATCTTCTGACATACCTTCTGACATTTGATCTGGCATATCTTCTGACTTTCTTTCCGTCACTCATATATTTGAAAACTCTTTCTGCCATATCTTCTGACATTCTTTCTGATGTTCTTTCTTCTTTCTTGCATATCTTCTGACTTTCTGTCTGGCATATCTCCTCTCCTTCTTTCTGGCATTCTTTTGGCATATCTTCTGACAATCTTTTTGGCATATCTTTTGACATTTTATTTGGCATATTTTCTGATCCGGCAGTGCCCACTGCGATCGGGCGGTGGCGGTTGAGGTCAGTGCGGAGGTCCAGCGGTGCCCACTGAGGCCAGACGCTGACGCTGGCCGTTGAGGCCCAGCGGTGCCCACTGAGATCGGACGCTGGCAGTTGAGGTCCAGCAGCGCCCACTGAGCTCGGAAGCTGGCGACGAGGATTGGCAACAACTTGGCGAAGAGGATTGGCGAGCAACTTGGCGAAGAGGATTGGCGAGGAGGAGGAGGGACAGGAAGGAGGAAGGAAGGACGATCAGCTCTGATAAAATCTAGATTCATCACTTCGCCGCCTGGCAGGTGGGGAAAAACCTAATAGATTCATCACAAGTGAACATTGCAACCTAACGGTTCTTGGCTGGCCTTGCCGACGCGTGACAAAGCCCCCCACATCCAGCCCCGGGCGCCAAGACGCACGCCCCTCTTCCTCAACCTCATGATTCTCTTCTTCATCTACAGTGATGCCTGGCAAGCAGCAATCACCTTTAAGTTGATCTGGCTCCTCCTCTATGTCCTCCAACTCTATGGTTTCAGCTGCCACACAGGGAACCATCTCCAGATCGAGTTCATAGTCAGGCTCCTCATCAATCTCTATCATGCCCACATCTTCACCCTCGAGATGTTCTCCTGTTGGTCGTTTATCGCGCTCCATCTCGGATTGAAAAAGATTACATATATTATCACATATTCCATGACTGAAACGGCTGCTATGCGAGCAGAACCTGGCATCAAGCGTGACGTGCCGACCTGCCCGAACCTCGAGATTGAGAGATTCACTGTGAACTCCCATGTAGGATGCTTCGGCGATGACTAATACTGACGCCTTCCAAGTCAGTTCTGATAACATTTCGAGTCTCGCATGCTGGAATCTCGAGTTTGGGTGATTCAGTGTGAACCGCTTAAGCTATTGGTTGGGTGCCATCTAACCTCCAGGTTTAGTTGTTCACTGCGAACCATTACAAATAAAGGCGACCAACAAAATATATTCCTAAATGGTCCTGGCTTTCCACACTTGCAATTGGAGTGGTTCATTTTGAATTGCACGCATTCATGGGGCGCAAACTAAACACTTTCTTTTGGAGTAGAATTACCACATCAAACAGGGCACGGTAGCAGTCCTCTGCTTTGTGTCATGGCCCATGCTTCAGCTTTCCCAGATTCAGTACGAGACTCCATGGCCCACACTCGAGATGTGACATCAAGCAATATGCATGCCAGTTTCCGGCTGTCCGCAAAAGGATGCGTCTACACGAACATGGTAGAAGAAATCACAATATGTTTTACCCTTGCTTGTTGTTGGACAATCCTCCAATTCTCATCTGGTAGTATGGATGGCAACGGAAACGGCGCCATATCGTGCACCTTGCCCTGTGACAGTTCAGACTTCCCGAAAGTCGTTGCTTGTTACTGTTATTGTTGTTGGACAGACCGATTTACAAATGTCGTATTCCTCAAATTCTCATGTGGTAGCATGGATGGCAACGGAAACGGCGCCATATCCTGCACCTTGCCCTGCGACAGTTCAGACTTCCCGAAAGTTGTTCATCTTCTCATTATGTAATTTCATATTAGAAGCAACAAAACCATCTCCAAACAATTGCAAGCCCCACCCTAGCCCAAAGAGCACTCAGTTCTTCAGCTAGAAATATGGTAACTCAGCTCGGCTGGGCATCCATACACCCATCCACGCGGTTGCTTCAGAGCCACCTGGAGCAATTTCTCAAGGCCATTGGGCTGCTTCTATACAACGACCTTTGGATAACCGACCTAATACGATTTCATGATCTCTATATCTACATTTTTAATTGCAAAGTTGCTTCAGAGCCACTTGGAGCACTTTCGAAAGGCCACTGAGCTGCTTCTGCAACACCTTTCGATAACCGGTCTAATGATATATAGTTGCAAAGCCCTCTTGGGCACTAAACAGAAAACATATTCAGACAGAAAGCAGCGGTTTGCAAGAGTTCGTTGAACCAGTTTAACAAGCATGTTCCCAGAAGAGCTTCAAAAGGGCACTTGTTGGAAAAGTCTATTCTTGTCATGGCGTGTCACAACAAGCACTTGGCATAGTCTTAACTTGTGAACAAACACCACGAAAGCTCATCTTCGAACGTAATCTTTATCTTGATGCTAAAGCCTGATAATGAGAAGCAAAACAAACAAGGGAATCACAACTTCACCAACGAGGAGCATTATTTTGAGAGGGAAACAACACGGTGATGAGCCTTAGCAAACATCAACATGATGTAGTTGCTCGACCAAAACGAGGGAATGAAGGATTTTGGAACCAAACCAATTGGAAAGACCCCAGGAAGCCAGAGTGAATCAGCTCCGGCCCAGCCTGAGGATTCCAAGTCGCTGTCCGCTCTGCTTCCCCTAGGCGGTCTGAGCAGATGCGCATCGCGCGCACGGAGGGGGAAGGTGTTTGGCCTGGGCGCTTTAATCACAGACTGTTAAGCGATTATACATGCAGGGGCTTCGTAACCTATACTTCCACAATGAGCGAGAACACTCCGTTGGGCAGGATGTTGAAGCGGAAAACACGCAAAAGCAACGAAACGACTATCTCGATCGACTCAATATCTTTTTGGCCGGCGCTCGCTCTGACGACCTCAGAAAGCCCTCGCAGAATCACCAGCCAATTGAAACCCAGGGCTGGCATTGATTCTGGCAACCCAAATCAATCGAGTTTTGATTGAACCACACGTCCTATAGGCTCACGAAAGAGCAGCGCCATCATAGCTGCAATCAACGTCGCACTTGCAAAGGCGCACGAAAAGTTCGACTTTTGCCTCCGAGGATTTCAGCTGCTGCTTGCACAGGGACAATTCTCTGACCAATTGGTCATATTGTTCAATCTTCTCGTACTGCTCTGGCGACAGCCTGTAGCGGCTCTTGTTTCGTCTTGCCGATTCATACCTCAGCTGTAGACCGCAAGTTTGAAATAATAGTGAGAAGTCTGCAAACACCCCGCTGAAGCCAGCGAAATAAAAGTAGCACCGCACCAGAAAGCACACTTGCGGGCACAAAAGTCGCAACCCAAAAAACAAATTGTGCCGGGGCATGCCGGGGCGCTGTTTGATCTTTGCGGATGTGTTTTTTTCGTTTTTTTCCTCAGGGCTAGGTTTTGTTTCCGGTTCTTTCTTCACAAGCTCCTTCTTCACAAGCACCATCTGCCACTGGACTGGACGCTCCAGGCTCGACCAAGGCAAGAAATGTTCCTGGTGTCTACAACAAAAAGCCAAACGCTGGAACTTTGAACGGCCTGAGAATTCAATTTGGCCGTCTTGCGCGATGCCAGTGACAAGCTTTAGCCCTTGAGCAAAAACCCTGCAACAAGAAGCTGTGGCGGTCGCAAAAATGGCAATAGAAGTGACAGCCCAAGGAAACTGATTCTGAAATGGGTTGGAAGATGGTTTAAAAGCAAACACTATCTCCGTTGCATTGTCTGAAAAAGTAGACCTCTGTCTGAATTTCATCTTGGTCCGCGGCATTCGAAGCGATGGACACCTTGCAAATTGAGCTTTAAAGTGGCATGATCGAGTGTTTGGCTGAATCATACCAATCGCAGTTTAGCGTCTTGAGACCGAAGATGTAGCGTATGCGTACAAATATTGGAAGAGCCACGCTCATATTTTATCTCTTCCCAATCTTCTTGCCTGGGTCCTGGAAACCTAGGCATCCCATTTCCTATAACATGTTCAGAACAAACCACTCAAACCCACATCTAAATTACTTAACCTCGAGTGATCCCCACCATGACATTTCAGTCTGACACATTTTCCATGGAAGCATGCCAACATATTTTCCTTCCTCAAATATTTTCTGAAAGTATTTCTGGCATACCTTCTGACATTCTTTCTGGCATATCTTCTGACATTATTTCTGGCATATCTTTTGACATTCTTTCTGACAATCTTTCTGGCATATCTTCTGACATTTTATTTGGCATATCTTCTGACATTCTTTCTGGCATATCTTTTGACATTCTTTCTGACGGTCTTTCTGACATTCTTTCTGGCATATCTTCTGGCATCTCCTCTGGTATTCTATCTGGCATGTCTTCTGACATTCGTTCTGGCATATCTTCTGAGACTCTTTCTGACATACCTTCTGACATTTTATCTGGCATATCTTCTGACATTCTTTCTGTCATATATTTTTACCCTCTGTCTGCCATATCTTCTGAAATTCTTTCTGACGTTCTTTCTGGCATATCTTCTGACTTTCTGCCTGGCATATCTCCTGGGATTCTTTCTGCCATTCTTTTGGCATATCTTCTGACAATCTGTCTGGCATATCTTTTGACATTTTATCTGGCGTATCTTTTGACATTCTATTTGGCATATCTTCTAACATTCTTTCTGGCGTACCTTTTGACCCCCTTTATTTGGCATATTAAATTTTGATCCGGCAGTGCCCACTGCGATCAGGAGCTGGCGGTTGAGGTTCAGCGGTGCTCACTGAGGCCGCACGCTGGCGGTTGAGGTCCAGCGGTGCCCACTGAGATCGGACGCTGGCAGTTGAGGTCCAGCAGTGCCCAGTGAGCTCGGAAGCTGGCGAAGAGGATTGGCGAACAACTTGGCCAAGAGGATTGGCAAACAACTTGGCGAAGAGGATTGGCGAGCAACTTGGCGAAGAGGATTGGCGAGGAGGAGGAGGGACGGGAAAGAGGAAGGAGGAAGGAAGGGAGGAAGGACGACCAGCTCTGATAAAATCTAAAGACCCTCACCTGGCAGGTGGGGAATCTACAATTATTTTTCAACAAACAAAAAATTACATAACAATTTCCCTTCCAAACCTCGATCTTGGGTTCCGGGACCCGAACCCATGGAAACCCATGTCCACAGAACCTTGGGCCCCGAACTCGAATCTCTTCTTGCCCGGGCCCCGACGCACGCCAGCCGACATCGTTCTCAACAGATCAACTCTGTAGACATATATAGATACGAACAAATAGTCATCAATGGCTCATCAAACATCAGATTTATACGTCCTATGAGCCTTGATCTGCAATTCGGGCCCCGAGCCCATTGGAGTCCAAAGAAAGCCTCGGGCCCCGAATTCTGATCACTTCTTGCCGGGTCCCGGACACATACCCATACCATTTCCTTCAACATTTTCAAAGCAAATCACCCAGAGACGTTTTCATATATACATATGTCTATCTACATATAGTGATTTCTCTAACAATTTCCTTTCTAAACCTCGACCTTGGGTTCCGGGCCCCAAGCCGATGGAAATCCATAGGTCCAGAAAGCCTTGGGCCCCGAACTCGATTCTCTTCTTGCCCGGGTCCCGGACACATACCGCCGATATCGTTCTCAACAGATCAACTCTGTAGACATATATATATATATCGAAAAATGCATATATAGGAAGACTCAGCAACGACTCGGCAAACATCAGATCTACATGTCTTATGAGCCTTGATCTGCAATTCCGGGCCCCGGGCCCATTGGAGTCCAAAGACAGCCTCGGGCCCCGAATTCTGTTCACTTGTTACCCGGGCCCCGGAAACATACCCATCCCATGTCCTCCAACATGTTCAAAACAAATCGCTGAGATGCAAATTAATATATACATATATATTATATGTATATATATATATGTATCTGTTTATAAACGCATAAAGATGTAACAATTTCCCTT